CCAAACCCAAGACTAAAAAAATCCCCAAATCAAAACTGTCCCTGAACTTGGGAAAAGGTTTAGCAACATAGCAAGAATATCAGAGAATTCTTATATTATCTCTGGTTCACATTTGGTAATGAGGTAATAAAATTTRTGTAGTCATTATGGGAATGTGTGCAAATGACAAGCATTTTAATTTCTGCATAAGCAATGCACATAAWTTTTTTCACAAATAGAGCTATAATTTATAATAACAATTAGAATACATTAAAGTTCTTTTKATTGTTTTTTCCTCATATTTTTTCATCTTAATTAATGTAATACAAAAGGAGATTTTAAGCTCTAGTTAATTTGTTTTTCCCAGACTAAGGCACTTGTGCAAGCTTCTTATTGCATAAAAATGTGAAGGGGAGATGAATTGACAAAGCAGTAATATTAATGCCCCCTTGAATATCCTATTAAACATTTTTAAATAGATGCTTAGATCTTCTAATTGCCAATATGAAACTGTCTGAAGATTTGATATTTTATATACAGAGCCTCTTAACAGCTTTCTTTTTTCAAACTTTGACCATGCTAAACACTTGATATCCCRGAGGAATTTGCATAAAAATGTCATAGTACTCTTCTGAAAAAGTGAATACAGTCCTTGTGAACAAATTCATGAAGGTGTCTTGATGTTTAGAAAAAAAAAAGATAAGATTTGGAAAACGTTTAGATGGATTAAAAACTTGTCTATCATTKAAGCTAAAAGAATGAAGAACAATAAACTCTTCAACTCATACTGAGTGTGCTTTTCTAGCTCGTATCATAGATATATTAAGTAGTAAATTAGTATTTCTGAATTTTGCTAAAAATGGCAAGTTATAATATATTCATATCCCCAGATATCCCAAAAGCCATTGTATGTTTACTTMCTCTGTTAAAATGCACAGCAGAAATGTATTCACACTCTTCTATTAAAATGTGAGAGCTGCTTCAAAATGGAAATGTCCGTGTTAGTTACATAAAGAAATGGATAATTTCATCTGGATCAGTTTTGTACGGCCAGAGATGTTTTAGAGCTCATTGTTGAAAAATAAATAGGATGCAAGAGAGGAAGTTGTCAAATTGAATTGTTTTTTATTTTCTTCCTTTTTTTTTTTTTTTTTTTTTTTTTTTTTTTTTTTTTTTCACATTTTATTTTTTTATTTTTTTTTTTACTTCTGGTAGAAGGATGATCAGTTTTGACCTGAAAATGACTATATTTTGAAAGCTTCCATTTGACACAGTGGAACTATCTTCCAGAGAATAGATTGTGTGTTGAGCCAGTCATTACCTGCAGGCATGCAGCAAATGTGGGAGTGYCATTGATCAATATATGGGTCAGCCAAGAATCTGCTGCTGAGTCTGCCTTCTGACCACATTGCATAGAGATGTGGTGGACAGAAATGGTGAGAAAATGTCAGATGACATAAAGAGGAACTTATGTGACATTAAAAAAAGAATTGAAAAAGCAGAGGAAACCCACTGAAATTGGGCTGTGYGCTTGATCTGATGCTCTGACCTTTGCAAAAAGAGGCTTTTTAACTATAGCTAGTAAAGTATAACTTCACAGTTTCCATCTCACATTAAAAGTTCCAGATATGGTGAAAGGAGAAAAGATCAGATATGCAGTGTGAATGATGCTGTATTTTGAGCTTGGTATTGCAATATAAAACAGCTTTTCTTTTCAATGGCACACTGTTGAGAAGTTGAAGATTTTAGAACTCGTTAGTGCCACGCAATAGAATTATTAAGATTTGTAGATTTTTGACAACAAATACAAAGTCTGKGTGGGGAAAAGTGTGAGTTTATCTAAGTGTTGAACTATAATAGTTTGAAAAGAAACATCAATATATACTTAATCCTCTTTTAGTTGGAAATTATTTTTCCAAGCACAGCAAAATAAAATCAGAGGTGTTTTTGATAATTTGTTTTAAATTTGCACATTTTATTTTCTTATTCTTCTTCTTTTCCAGTTCTCCAAAATATCCTTGTTATCTTAAATTTGTAGTTTTTAAAGTGATTAATGTGATGACTTAATAAAGAGTTTTATAAGATACTAATGTAAAAGTAAAATTAAAAATTATGTTTGGGTGGAGCATGATAAGAACTACATATTCCAGCCTAAAAGAAATTATTTTTAAGGTTTMTTTTATTGTATTTTACCTCTTATTTATCTAAAAGTGTGTCAGTCTGCAACGTAAAGATAATGACTTGTGAAATTACAGCATTAAGTGCAATATAAGTATTAATTAATGGTTCTTTTCCCTAGKATAAATTATTTTAGAGGAACTATATGCTATGAGAAGCCTGCCATGTGTTACTCAGATAACATTAATCCCAAAGTCACATTACAAATAAGCAACACAACGTTTGAAGGCTGTTAAGCCTTGTTTTGAGGATATATTTATGGCTTTATTCACACTTTACTAGGCAGTTATTACATTCTTTTCAGGGAAGTGAATGGCTGTGAGGTTTGTTCTGTGCCACTGAAGATAACACAAGTTTTATCACAAATTTCAATGAAAAAAAGAAAAGAAACCCAGAAAAAAAACCATCCACAGCCTGGTTGATATCCAAATTTTCCAAGTCTTCTCTTCTATTTCACACTGTACAGTCTCTCTTTTTATGCCTTTTATACAGTTGAATTAATAGTAGTTTAAAAAAAAAAAAAAACATATTTCAAATGCTGTAACTTTCAGGTCACTGAGGTGTTCAGYCAGGGAGACTAATCTTCTTTTCTTCACTTTTTCTGCAGAGTTATTTATATAGAGCTACAGTTATWTATAAAAACATCTTTCAATATTGTATGTTTTGTAAATACTGARTAAATAAGTTTGCATCTATTATCAATCTTTTTTTTTTATTCAGGCTGCCTGGAATTAAAAGAAGACACCATTGAAAACCTCCTAGCAGCTGCTTGCCTTCTCCAGCTCCCACAAGTAGTAGAGGTTTGCTGCCATTTTCTGATGAAGCTTTTGCACCCATCCAACTGTTTGGGAATACGAGCGTTTGCTGATGCACAAGGATGCACAGAGCTTATGAAGGTGGCTCACAACTACACCATGGTAAGGCAGTTTTGGAATGTCTAAATTATAATCTTGTGAATCCTGTATATCCTCAACAAGTAAAAATACCTTGTTCGTTTTTTGCTTGAAATGATTTTGTGCTATRTTCTGTATTTCTGTGGAACTGTATTTCATAAGTGGTCCTTTTGAGGCCACAGCAGTGGTGATTCCAATGAACTTCAGTGAAGTTATGAGAATTGGCCTTCTATGATGGRTGCATTGTCTGGTGGGTCTTAACTGTATATGATTTATTTGGATGCATGATCACCTACAGGTGATTATAGTAAGGTGCATGTAAATCATTATAATACTTTTTAATCACTTCCTTTTAATTTAGCTTTATGGAATCTTTGTGATGGTCATTGTACTGCATGGGAATACTATCAAGGGAAGATTTGTTGGGTTGTGGTGTTGGGTTTTTTTGTCAAGACTTATCCCTCCCTTTAGGCACCTGTGAAGTAGTTTAAGACAGGAATTTTTAGAAATAAGGAATGTTGTTATCTGGTAATATTTAATGTTTTTTCTTGTTACATCTGACAGAACAGGTATGGAATTATCATCAAAATTTAACCAGAATCAATGAACAGAAATAGGCTCCTTATTCAGAAATTAAGTCATATTGGCAGCCATTTGATTCTTCATAGTTTGACAAAATTAAAAACATCTGGTTCATTAAATTAAACTTACATAAAGAGAAGATTATATATAATGTATAAATTATGAGAAATAATGGTCCCTGTAGGTCTCTACTGAAAATATAACTGAAGTAACAGAGCATTTTTCAATGAATTGCATTCTCTTTTTCAGCATTTATTTCCTTATTTTATTTATTCTTTTATTTTACTAATAACAAATTGCAATTCACAGGTTTAACTGGGGTTTCTTACCACTATAGTTCAGACAGTGACACCTATTCCACACTTTTGGAGCCTAGTTCTGTGGTTTCTTATTCTTAAAGGTCCAAGYTAATCAGTTAAACCTTCTTCTGTCAGTGGAGAGAAATAAGCTGTCAGAGCAGCATTCATGTGGTCTTCATTCAAATGAAATTGCATTAGGAGTGAACAYATATTTTCTGAAAGAATCCAAACTTTTAATCAGTCTATTTCTTAGCTTTATATATTACTTTTATATTGCACATTGTGATATTTTCATAGGCATTGCTTTACTTCATTTAGATGTGATTCAGCTCACATCTATTTGACTTACCATTTTGTGTTAAAGGGTGTGGAAGACCAATTGTGAGTGGGAAGGAGCACCTTATTGCCTATCTTCAGTACAGCACTCTCAATAAAAAAGCATCTACATAAGAGAAAAGTGATTAGTTCTTCTACATGAATACATAACCAAGAAAAGCTTAGGCAGCTGAAGGAAGATACCTTRGGGAGTGTGAGGGAGGAATACCAGAGACCTGGGAAAGTGAAGAAAGGGGAGGAAAGTGATGAACACAGGCAAAGAGCAGATGCATAGTCTCTAATGTGACAGAAAGCATTATATTTTCCTTCAGACTCTAGGAAAGTAGTATGGACTGTGATTAGGATAAACATAAAGTAGGGCAAGAGGGAGTTTATGCAGAGGATTTGAGGGGAAGCTTTGGCTATAAAAATGATAGAAAAAATCACTGTTTCTTTTTGAAGAAGTTATCTTGTTTTCCAGAGAACAAGGCCTCTTCTTTAAAGCTTTTCAGGATGCTTTTTTAAGAGTTGCAAGTAATGTATCTCAAATTCTAGCTCTGTGAATCCTCTTCTGTGGTGTTATTGCAAAAGCAAGCTTGTTGTGAATAGGAAGTAATAGTACTCCCTTTAACCCTGGAATCTTCTGCTGTTGTTTGTGTGAGACTGAAAAATACTCATGCTGTGGTTCTACTCTGGTCTAGGAATGGGGAGAAAGAAAAACCTCTTCAATAATCTTGCAAAAATAGATTTATAGGCATATGTCTTATGTGATAGATTGTGTAATAATTTTGAGATATGACTCAAATCTCATCTTTGAATAATTCTGCTTCTTAGCTAATTACATAGTTGAAATTAAATATTCAYTGATATGTTTAAAAAAAGCAAGTAATAAAATAATAGCTCTCTGACTTTATAGTACCTGGCAGAGGTCRTACAGCTTTTCTTAGCCAATCTCTTTTAGGTAGAAAGTAATTCACAATTGTCTCCACAATAGCATATTAAGGAAAAATCAACACAATTTTATGAAACASTTTGCTTCATTGAACCTTCATAAATGCTTTAATCTTCATTTTTCAAATAAATCTCCTTGCCTAGTTTCCAACTTGATATAAGTTCCACATTACACTGTTGTTATATACATATATAACTCGCTTTTTACTTTCACATAACATGTTATAAGGGCAAGACATTTGAGCTCAGAAATTTATTTGTATTGAAGAAGAAAGAGCTCCTAAAGAGCAAACCAATTATTTTAAGAATCCTGTTGGCAGGACATACATCATTCCATAGATGTTTTCTGTCACATTGAATAACCTCTATTTCCCTAATCATAAAATCTGTGGAAGCGAAAAATACAAATTTTTATTTGCATAGTGGTCATAGGTATGTCCTATCTAATATAAATAAAATTCTTTCACTACGAAGTTATGTATATCCCTTTCCATGAGCAGAAGTGTAATATCCCTGGTATTTACTGGGATATTTAGTCTTCAGTGTCAAATATCAAATAATTATTTGAAATGTAAAATCTAAGTGAGGAAAAGCAAATGTGTGAATAGAAGAGGGGAGGAAGTGAGAAAATGAAGATAAGAAAAGCAGTGAAGGAAAATCAGATAACATTTGAAAAATTGTAGAAAATGCATTTGCCATATAGCAAATTAGGAGGTTGGTAGAAGAAAGAGGAAGGTAAATATCATAACAATTAAGTGAACCATGAGTGCTAGAGATTTCTATGTTTGCATTCCCTCTACTTTTTWGAAATGGAACTTGGATGGCATCATTTTAAATGAAAGCTTTGCAAGGAAGAAGTTAATAAGAGCAAAAATGTAAATTGTCATTGGTTTCTCTTTTAGGCACATCAGATTTAATGTAGTTTGTTTTATTTCTGAGATATGAAAATGCCCTGCCAATGTTTTATGGTGTGATTTTTATTTTTTTTAAATTATTTTTAATGAATCTGCTAATTTAAATGGCATCACAAATATCCACGTCTCTTGATTTAAGACTTCTGTACTTCTTAATTGCAATCTGGGTTGTTACTAACTTGTCAATTTCTGAAAGCTTTCAATCTGCAGAGCCATATGTCTGATAAGTTTAAATTCCTAATTTATTGCCAGAGTTAAGTTAGATGATAGTAGACTGTGTGTGATGTCTTTTCTAAAAAAAATAAAAGCAGCAAAGTGGAACATATCAATAAGCTAAAGGAAATTATTTCTTCTAGCAGGTATTTTTTGCTGACAATTCTTTATTCTTCTAGTTATAGGGGGCTTCATATGTAGGGATGCTAACCTCTAAAGTACACAATTTATCAGATTGTCATACTTGTCACAAATTAAAGTCAGACTGTATGGCCTTACCCATCTCTTTAGAAAACTGAATTAAGAGTAATTCGAAAATATGCTGGCCATCCAATTGTTGGGATGCAAYTATTTTTAGAGTATTTGATGTTTTAAAATATACTATGTTTTGTACCATTGTATGTTTATTGATGTAAGTTTGTAACAGACCATACTAGATTAATGGACTCTATGGCTAATGTATGATTAGCACTTCTCACAACAACTACTTGTTTGCGTTGGTAAATACTGGAAGATAAAAAGAAAGTCATATTTTTCCTTAAAAAAATAATTGCAGTTTGGTTTTAAAGCATGGGAAATTATTTTTTTAATGCTCATATTTGGTATGATTTCGAATACAAATGTAATTTGCCTTCTTTTCTYCCAGCAAAGACCTTCGTTCTGCTTTTGTTAGGATGTGTAGATAATGCTTAGAAATTGAGTGTGTTACCCTCCAAGATGCAGCACCAGTTGCTTCATCTCATTATCATGCCATTTGACTGAAACCTGATTGCTTTGAACAGAAAATAGGAATACCTCATAGATATAACTATTTAATCTGTCAGTGCTTCACCTTTCAGGAAGCTACACTTAAACCTCAGTGATCGTTTTGCATCTAGAAACTGCAGTTTCGAGTTGAAATGATAGAGCTTGTTCCATATTTTTATTTCCCCATATTTCAAAATGAATTGCTAAACATAAACTTGGCAAATCTTCAAATTGCTTTGATGCACTGAGCAGAAGAATGGCCATAAGTAAAAATTCCTTGACCAGAAGAACATAAATGAATAAAGTGATTGATGTGTCTGTAACCCAGTCATAATGTTAGCAATATAAAGGACCCTAACATATGCTGCAGTTSCAAGGCTGGGAGATGCAGAATTCTTGCTGATGGCTTTGAATGAAGTGGTAAGAGGTGTTTAGCTTCTCAGAGATGCAGTTCTGTGCTTTGCACTGCAAGGGTCATTAGTCCCACCACAACAAAACATTATTCAAACTTAATTGTGAGCACGTAAGTGATCTGTGACATGTACTGACTTGATATGGACTCTTTAATTTACTGGGAATTCTGATTGTACTGCAGATGGAGAAACCATTCCATTTAGTAGAAGTGTATACCTTATGCAAWTTTTTTATGATCTTTTATGGCGAAGAGCTTCAGTGATCATTTTATTAGTTATGCTTTTTATCTAGGTTACAAAATTTCATGGTTAAAACCTGTTGGGATTGAGTGGGGAAGGAGTGATATGTARAACCTTCCTTCCAGCTCCATTTACAACGGTTCACCCTGAAGCATATTGAAATATTGTAACATTACTCCATATTCAAATGAGGAAAAATATTATTGAGATATTGATAGGTGGTGATAAGTCATTAATGGGCTGTAGTTCATGTACATTCAGACATCAGGAGATTATTTCAGTGTTAACATAGCCTTAACTAAAGTCAGATCAAGTGAAGCAGAAAAACTCTCTAGTATTGTAATTTAACA